CTTTTTCACTTATGTAAATTTAGGTTGCCAATTAATTATCTCATAATTTAGTTTACTCCGGTGTTCGTTGCAGCACATCTATATTTTTATCTTACGATGCGGTATGATTTTTTACTGTCATATCTGAACGTAAAATTCTAACTTTATGGTTCTTGGCGTTAATTGCAGCAAGGAACTCTACAGTAGGTGACAGCTTTTGTAAGTCCAAATATGAGTCTGGCATGCCTGGTGTGCCATAGTGTAGAAAGTCCATCGCACTCTTTTAGGAGTTACTCTGTTTCAAGTGCAGAAAATGAGGGAAGATGTTCTGCCATTGCCAACTGCTTAGCAAGGAGGCCATCTTTTCCACTACCAACACATTCCAACATTGCATCATCCAAAGTAACCCCACAACCAACCCTTCCAAACAGCGGTTCCATGTCAGGTGCTCCACGGCTAGTCCGAAGCCGGGCTGTGAGAAGGGACATCGTGCAAGACTGGAACTTTGACGAGGTTGTAATGGGGCGTTAGATTTTTTAAATATGACTCCAGAGTAGAAGGCTCTTTGCATGGTATAGTTCTAGGAGACAGTAATCTTGCAATCTATTTTTGTTAGTTATGGCTGCAATTGAACTCACTTTTCCTCTGGAAGAGTTTGTGCGTTTGTAACCATCTGAGAAAATCGTCATGTAACGTTGTTTATAATTTTACCCTTTTGGTAGTCTTTTGCAGATCAATCTTATTTCTCTAACTTGGTTTTCTTTTTTCGTTCTAGGGGTGTTTTGTCTCGATCTTTTTAAGGCTACTTTGCTTCAAAACAAGTAGGGAAGGCAATTTGAAAAATCAGTCAACTTGAAAACCACTTAATTATTAAACTTCAAATAAATAAACAAATACTGCCTTTACGTTAAACATTGAAATGTCGGTGATGAAAATCAAATGGTGAAGCGACTTCTGTTTTGGCCAACTCACAATCCTTAAAAAGATAACTGAAAAAGGGAAAGTTCAAATTGTTGGGACTGTATTGCAGTTGCAGGGCGGGTTTCAGCAGCATTGTCCCCCTTCTTTTTGAAGGACTTCCTTTTTGGAAGGTAGAAACTCTTGGGGCATGTTTGGTAGGCTCACTGGACTGGACTGTGTTAATTAGCACTTAAAACCCATGTTTGGTGAAAGGAGGGACTAACTTAAATGAGACTAAATAGCCCAACAGTACAAAAAACGCCTCACTCGCTCGTGCAATCTAGCGAGCCTGAAACTTGGTTCTCAAAATAGTGAGCTCGCTAAACATAACACGCGAGTCCGAGCCAACGCCTCTCTCTCTCTCTCTCGTTTCCTTCAACATCGAATCTGCTCTTCTTCGAAGTTGTACTCAGGCAAGTTTTTTTTACTCCTAGTTGGACTCTATTTTGATTTAAGTTAAAACATTATGTTTTCATTATTCTTGACTTGGAGAGCACAGTTCCATAAGCCAAGGAAAAAGGGCTTTCGCCGGTTGGTTTTCGTTTGGTAGTGCGGTATGCCCATAATATGTTCAATAGTTCCTTCGACCATTTGCCATTACGTTGTTCGAACCATCTCTTTAAGCAATCAAAGATCGTGCTATTAGTTTTCTTAGCTTGCCCGTTTCCTTGAGGGCAACTTCGAGACGAGAACTATTGAATGATCCATTTTTCGGCACAGTAACTTCTGAATTTGCGGTTGTCAAACTGAGTTCCATTGTCTATCACGATGGCTCTCAGTATCTCAAATCGGCATATTATATTGCGCCATATGAATCTTACCACATCCGTTTGGGTTACCATGTTGTAAGCCTCAACTTCTACCCACTTAGTGAAATATTTAGTGGCCAAAAGGACGAACTTCTTCCCTATGTCCATCCCCCAATTGGCCAAAGGCCAGAGTACCACAATAGGGTTAAGCTCCTCAGCTGGCTGTCGGGGTGCACGGTTTTGACAAATGTCACATTTTCTTGAAAATTGTTCTGCATCGCGGGCCATGTAAGGCTAACAATATCTTTGGGTTAGCGCTTTGTGGGCTATGCTCCTCCAACTCGTGTGGTTCCCACCCTTTGTGTATTTCCTTTAGCAACCATTCGGCTTTGCGTGGATCAAGGCATCTAAGATACGACCCTAAAAAAGATTTACGAAATAGCGTGTCATCTATAATGGCATACCTTATGGCCTTTATTCGTAATTTTGTGAAGAGAGGATTAACTAGTCTCATGCTTACAGGGGGTTTCTCACACACATTCTTGTTTATGACTAGTTTAATTTTTTTTTAGGCTTTTTATCACAAAACGTCCCTGACGTTTGCGAAACTATCAGATTGCATCCTTAACGTTAATATGGGTGTTCTTAAATAGTCCATCTGTCAAAAAATTTGTTAAATCCAAGGATATAATCGTCAAATCAATCCAAAATTATAAAATATATATATATATTTTATTCCCTTTCTTTCTTCTTCTTCTCTCTCTCTTTTTTTCTTCTTCTTCTCTCTCTACCAGATTCCTTTTCTCTCTCTGTTTCTCTTTTCTTCCCCTATCCTCTGTCACTCTCCTTTTTCTTCTTTCCTAGCAGCGGTCAACTATTACAAAAGAAGTTTGTGACAACTTATTAATGGCATGGTTGAATAATACTTGTTCCCATCATTTCAAAGTATGCATGGAAGCCTTTAACTCGCAAAAGTTCAACCACCAATTGTCCCAAGCATCAAAGTATTCTAACTTCTCCTTCTCAATGTCTTTACTTTAAATTATAAATGTTGTTATTTTCAATGTCTCCAGTGCTAAAATTTCCGGTAGAACTAGGAATCAGGGACTGTTTCATGTGATTAATCAGCACCAGTTGAAAAGCAACACAAACTTGTAAAAACAGTAGATGGAAAACAAGAAACATAATTAGAATGCCAATTTGATTGATTGTATAAGAAAATAAGCCTCAGACATCCAAGGAAGGATAAAAGCAGCACAAGCTCTCAAGCCTGGCGAAGGCGAAAGCTCTTAGGCGGCCACTGCGAATGTTCTTGAGAAACAAGCCTTAGATTTGTCACCACAGGTGATTCAAACCAAACATACAGCACATTGAAATCAGATTTTAAAACTGTAAGAAAATATAAATTTCGCCAAATCAAATATGCTAGATTTTAAAAACAATTCGCAACATGAATGGAAATCTAAAACATAATTAGAATGCCAATTTGATTGATTGTATAAGAAAATAAGCCTCAGACATCCAAGGAAGGATAAAAGCAGCACAAGCTCTCAAGCCTGGCGAAGGCGAAAGCTCTTAGGCGGCCACTGCGAATGTTCTTGAGAAACAAGCCTTAGTTTTGTCATCATTGATTACAATATTCAAAGATTTATATTCAATAAAATAATCACAAGCCTTCTTTCTTCTTTTGTAATAGTTGACCGCTGCTAGGAAAGAAGAAAAAGGAGAGTGACAGAGGATAGGGGAAAAAAAAGAGAAACACAGAGAGAAGAGGTAAGGAATGTGGCGGAGAGAGAAGAAAAAGAAAAGAAAGAGAGAAAGAAGAAGAAAGAAAGAGAGAAGGGAAGGAAATAAAATATATATATTTTATAATTTTGGATTGATTTGACGATTATATCCCTGAATTTAACAGTTTTTTTCGACAGAAGGACTATTTAAGAGCACCCATATTAACGTTAGGGACCATGAGTGATACAAAAAAACTTTAAGGATGCAATCTGATAGTGACGTAAACGTCAGGGGCGTTTTGTGATAAAAAAGCCTTTTTTTTATGACCATATTATTGACAGAATATTTATTTGTAATTGAATATATTGGATTTAACTTGAAACATTAGTTCAGAGCATTTGGATACAAATATTTAATTTTCAACATAATACTTTATTTATTTTATAATTAAAATAATTTTTAGGGTGTGATGGAAACATATTTAATACAAATATATATATATATATATATATATGAGTGAAAGTGAAAGTGTTTTCCCTTTTATCAAATACTTGAACAAAAAAGTCATTTCAACATAATCCCTTTTTTTAGTCATTATACACAACTTACAACACTTTCACAATAAAATTTACCAAACAATTAGAAACTGATTATTGTACCAACAACACTTTTAACAAAAAGTTTACCAATGCCAAACTGCTTTCTCTCATAGCAAATCTAACAACGATTATTTTCACAGCACAACAATACCAAATTGACCATTACTTAAGTTTACAATGTAAATAAGGAAGTACCCCAATTTGGATCATTTAAAAATACTAGAAAATCAAATTCCCAACAAATCAAAATATGAAAATCTAATTTTAGTATAAGAGACAATTTATACCAATATTGATACCTCAATAAGTCAATGTATACTTTATACTAAAATATCATAAAATCGTGTTTGCTTATTTAAGATGTAAGGAATATAAACAGCCAAAAATATCATTGAAAACATTAGTATTTCACAAGTCCATTTTTCATACTTAGTCAAATTTTGAGAGAAAACAGTTTTTCAAGTAGATGTGTACTAATCTATATTATTGTGCATCAAAATTTGACTACATATCATACTTGAAATAAGGCAATATAAGGCAAAATAAAAAACAAAACAAGGCAAATGCCCGGGCCTATTTGGGCCGAGCCATGAGCAGGCCTTGTCAGGCCGAGAGAGGGCCAGAGGTTTCAAAATCTAAGTTCAAGTCTCATCCAACCTTAGAACAGGCTGGACCGAGCAGACCTAACTATTGGGTCGGACCAAGCTTTGACCCATCGGGTCTCGAGCTACCTACTTCTACTTGCGAGCCGCATACCAAATGATGACCATTAGTGAGTGGTGAGTGGTGGAAATACTTTTTTAATATTTTAGTTCATATGGATGGGTTTAACCCTCAATTTAACAGTAAAATTGACAGACTTTGATAGCATGACCAATTTGATATTAAATGGAGAGTTGATAGACGATTAAAATGAAAAAAATTAGTTGATGGACAAAAATGATACTGGTAAAGAACTCACTCTTCCCGCAACCTCCCGTCACCGATAAATATTATAAAAGTTATAGGAAAAATAAAAATAAAAACTAACCCAAGAACTCACTCTCCCCACAACCTCCCCGTCACCGCTCAGCCCACACACACAACTCAACCTACACAGCAACACTCGCTGCCGGCCGCTCCCACCAAAACCCCTTGACACCCACCCGAACCCAATCCCTTTCTCCTTCTCCTCCTCCTGCTGCTACGTCAAAGCCCCTTGTAGAGGACAGGGAACCAAGAACAGCACCAGAACTTTGAACGGTAAGAAGCTTACTGTTACCTGCTGGAAATTTAGAAAAAGAAAGAAAGAATGATACATATAGTTTTACTGGGTTAGATTTCTAAGATACTTCAGTGGCTAATTTTCGAAGGAACTCAACCCTCATTAAACCTCTCTGTGTATTAGAGACCACGAGAGAAAGAAGATGACCAATCCAGTTCAGGATTTTCATGAAGAAGAAGAAGATGACCAGGGCGAGGTTTATCTTGATGAAGCTGACATTATTGGCGAAGTCGATGTCGATGATGAAGGTCCTTAGTCCTCTCTCTCTCTCTCTCTCTCTCTCTCTCTCTCTCTCTCTCTCTCTCTATTATGCATAGAATATATGAAAGTTTTATTAATTTCTTGGTCATTTGGTGTGGACTGCAGATCTTCCTGATGCAGATGATGAAATTATTGGTATGCTACTTCACTAGAACCCATCATCTTTGAAACTTTTTTCATTATTTATGATATGGGTTTTGTTTTCCCTTCCCCTTGAATTAATTCGATTGATTGGTATGGTATTATGCTTTATGGTGGTTTCAGATGAGCCTGATGACTCCATGCACATATTCACTGGTCATACTGGTAAGTGATTCCCTTGCTTTTTTAGTTTTATTTATTTATTATTTATGCATTTCACCTGTTACCCGCATATTATGTATTCTTAATCGTCAATAAGCCTTGCTACGAGTTATTCAAATTGAAAATTACATTTGGAAATTTGTTATTTCCAAAATTCAAATTGTTACTCTAAGCACTATATGCATATGGTGGCTGTACCTTATACGTTCTTTAAATAGCAATTTTACCTATGGAAAATAAACATCTCCTGTACATTTGTGCCTATTGTATTATATGTTGGCGCCATAACGCTAGATGCAAAATAGCTAGAGCATTAGAGGAAATATTCTTTGTTCTTGTATTATTACAAACTTACTATGTTAGAGGGATTTCCTGAATCTTATACTGAAGCGACTTTCCAGAATCTTAACTTTTATTCACTCTCTAGCCCCATTGATTTGAAACTGTAGATTGGTATGTCGCTCAATGGAGTTCTTGACAGTTGCTTGCTTGTATTTAGGTTAGGAAATGAAATCTATATGACCTTTTATTGTTACTTTATCTGTCATATGCACATACACTGATTATCTTTGATTGTATTATAGAATTGGAGTGCAAAATAGCTTTGGCTTCAGGTTGATGCTTTTCTGCTGAGCTAGGCCTATGCCATGACTTGTATTACTTAAAAATTTAGGGTTTCAACTATTTTTCCTTCCCTTTCTGGAACAGGTGAGCTTTACACGGTTGTCTGCAGCCCAACAGATCCTACATTAGTTGCAACTGGGGGTGGAGATGACAGAGGGTTTCTTTGGAAAATTGGACAAGGAGATTGGGCGTTTGAGCTCCAAGGTTGGTGACGAGAGAACAGCTACATACTTTACGTACTTTGTTTTCCATAATTATTCACTTTAGTGCTTTTGTCTGAACCCAATTTTACCTTAGATCCGTTGCTCCAAAATTACTGAACTATGGATTTATTAGATTTAATGTTCACTTTTCTCCAATTTAACTTCTTGAACTCTACTCTGCAGGTCATAAGGATTCTGTTTCTAGTTTAGCATTTAGTACTGATGGACAATTGCTTGCATCCGGAAGCTTGGATGGAATTATTCAAATTTGGGATATCACATCAGGAAATCTGAAATGCACCCTTGAAGGTCCTGGGGGGGGCATTGAGGTAAAACTTTTAAGCTGTATTTTTACTGCCATTCTACTGTAGTTTATCAAGGATTTAATTTGGATTATGTGACTTCTCAGTCGGTCAGGTGGCATCCTAGGGGGCATCTGGTCCTGGCTGGTACAGAGGACTCTATGGCTTGGATGTGGAATGCTGACAAAGGTTCCTATCTTAATTCATTTTCAGGCCATGGTAGTAGCGTGAGTTGTGGTGATTTTACCCCCCATGGTAACTTTCTTCATCTTGTTGCTTCTGTCTGTCTCTCTCCCATCCTCTCTTTTTTGGTAAACTGTTGTTATGATGCATTTCATTTATCTAAACTGATTTGAAAAGATTTTTGTTTTTTTTTAATGCCACTATTGATTTAATTTTCTCATGTCTTTTGCTGGTTTCTTAAGGTAAAACAATATGCACTGGTTCTGCTGATGCAACTTTGAGAATATGGAATCCAAAAAGTGGCGAAAACATTCATGTGGTGCAAGGTATCTGTTCGAATTGTCATATAAATTTCCTATGTTCATCTTCCAAGTTAGTTGAAGTTTTGGAGCAAAAAGCAATATAGAAAAGGTAGTATAACCTTAAATCCGAATCATCATATGATTTATTTCGCTGATTATTTGGGGCTAGAAGTATTGTTTAACTTTTTAAAACCATTAGGATGGTGTGAAGATGCTTGATCTCTTTGCTTACTTTACCTCTGACCAATTGATGGTGTAACATAACCTTCATTAAGAAGCTTACGGTGCGAAAACCGTATATATGACAGCAGAGAAGAAGTAGACATTAGGTTCCAAAATAGTCGGACACTGAGATTTTGACCTATATACCCAATAGATCGACTGAAATTTCATTTTTGATGAGGTGTTGATACTGAATTTGATTATCTATGATGATGATGATTTTTCTTTTTTCACATTCTATGTTTTCATCTTCTAGTTCTATCAGTTGATTATCATAATTTATTGAAAGTACGTTCTCCTATCATGGTGCTAGCACCTATTTGTACCATTTTTATCTTTCTCAAAGTTGGTCTATTAACAGGAAGTGAAAGACTGAACTGTTGTCTCTGAAATCGAGCAGTTCTGTCTATTTTCAAAAGAAACTTGAAACAGCTTATGGTAATTTTTGGGTTTTTGCTTCTCAATTTTGACTCGTTTTGTCTTCTAGGTCACCCGTACCATACTGCAGGATTGACATGCTTGGCAATAAGCTCTGATTCAACTCTAGCTGTTACTGGTGGTGAAGATGGTTCTATCCATGTTGTCAACATAGTAACTGGAAAGGTATGATATGCTTTTGTTACATTGAATACAACGGGAAAGGTATCATTGGTTAGTTGTTTAGTTCCCTGGTTGGTTTCACATCTAAAATTATCAGGCGTTTAGTATAATTGTTTTTTCCTATTAACAGGTTGTTAGTTCCCTGCCTTCACATTCAGATTCTGTCGAATGTATCGAGCTTGCACCAAGGTACATTCAAGCCTCTCTCTCTCTCTCTCTTTTGTGAACTGTTGTTATCATGCATTTCGTTTATTTAAACTCAAAAGCCTGTCAGGCTCTTTTGATCATGACCCATTCTAGACAACCTTTTTCATTTAAATAATTATCATTTTTTGTTTGTGAAATCAATGTGCCTAATTGTAACCAAAAAAGAATCTGATGTCTCTAATCCCTTTGACCGTGACTGTTTATCGCCACATGTGATTAATTTGAATGATTCTTGCTATAACTGCTGGGTTTAGACGTCATTTTATGCATGTTTATTCATTAATCACTTATTAATAGGGGATGGGATGATATAAAATTCTGAGATAATGCCAGAATTCTGCAATTTTGGAGTGGTAAAAAGTTATTCCTTGTTTAGAAGAGTGTTGCTATTTTCGCCTACCTGTCCTATTTCCCCACTCATCTTATTTTCAAAATTTTAAAGACAAATTTATAAATGCCCCTCCTCCCTCTCCACGCTCTTGTCCTCACTCTCTCCATCTCCGAGCTTTCTCCCAGTCTCCTCCTACCTCTCAAGGTGTTCCCTCTCTCTCTCTCTCTCTCTCTCTCTCTCTCTATATATATATATATATATGCTTGCATGTTTTTGAACTTTGAAGTGGAACTTCAGTTTGCACAGTGTTCTTGTGGTTGATTTAGTTTGTGGGTTTTAATCGTTGTACAACTTGATGAAGATGGTTGGTTTGTTTTTTGTTGTTTTTGTTGTTTTTGTGCAGCAAATGCAAATCCAATTTCAACTATGAATTTTCCAGTTTCAAGGGTAAAAGGCCTTCAATGGAGGATTATTCAAGTTGTTCATTCGGGAATGTGTAGGACTTAAATAATTAGTAATTATAGGGTATTTTAGGAATAATGGTGGGTGTAAAGAAAAGATTGTGTTTTTTCAAATGTACATAGTGGGTGGGAAGATAAGGTGGATGAGAAAATAAGATTGGGGGTGGAAATAGTAGCACTCTTTTAGAAACATGCAAAATTCAATAAATTATTAATATTGCAAATAGGAAAGACTAAATATGTTTATTTTATCAATTCTAAACTAAATATGTTTAATGATAATATTAGTAATTAATTTTTTTTAATAATATATGGGAAATTTTACTGCCACCCTCCAACCTATTGAAGCCCGTTGAGGTTTGTCCGCCTCAACGACACTACTTGAACCAGCTCGTGTGCGTTCCATTTCAAAGTTGATTGTGTGTTTTAATTAGATTTTCATAAAAGGTTAGTGAAAGAAAAGAGACTAGTACGAGTATATACAAACTCTCAATGAAAACACCAATTTGTAGAATCTGAATTTCATAAAAACTTTGTTGTGGGTCCACCCCTAAACAAACTAGTGAAAATTTATCATTGCATCACTATTTAGTTAGACTTGAAGAAGAAGAAAAAAGGATTGAAACATAGCCCTATATAAATGCATTCAAGATATTGCGAATTTTACGATTTTTATATTTGACAGAGTATTGACTCAATTTTATGACTTGAACAAAATAAAGTAATGGAACCATTACACATAAAAGAAAAATTAAAAGAAAAGTGTTCAGAAATCCTTCTAGGCTCATTCAAAAGTTTTGTGCCCTGGTTCTGGTTGGACCTACAAGAAACAATCCCTAAACCAAGCAGAGGAAATTGTGTTACTTTCTCTTTACACGGGTGAAAATTCGCACTTTCCCTTAGCCCCCACGTGAATTTTCACCTTTCAGTTTGTCGGTTAATTTTTTTTTCCCCTCTCTTTTTTCTTAAAATTGTTTATTTCTTGATGGGCCTTTTTCCAGACCGTTTCTCTTCAGAAAGGAAATTCCTTGATTGATCCAGACCAGTACTATTGCCTTCACTATTGATGCCGCTTTTCAGAGGTGCCTTTGTCACATTATGCGGGTCTGCATGTCGAACCTCTACTTTCTTCTTCTTTTGGTAACTTGGCAGATAAAGAAAAAAAATACTTGGCTTCACTTCACGGTCGAGCTTTTGTTTGTGTACTTGCAGCTATAACAGCACGGCAAAGCAGAGTGCACTCAGCTAATTACTTCAGATTGAATTTTTGGTTCTGTTTTTAGCAAAAATTCTGATTTGGGTGGGTGGTCTCACTGTTTTGGCATTGCATCTGGGGTTGGCTGTTGAGAATGAGACAACCCAAGAAAGAAATGAAATTATGGGAGTGTTGAAAGACAATTCCTTGGTTCATCTTACTCAGAGCTCTACTGGGCTGCTGAGGCTCATCTTACTCAGAGCTCTTCTACTGGGCAATTCTTCATACCAATAGTGACCCAGGTCATAATCATCTTTTGGGGACAGAGAGGATGATGTTGTGTTGGTCATTCAAGATGAATTTGATTTGGCTTGTTCTATTGCTGTTTCTGTATCTTGGGGTGTTCTCATTTGGGTCCAGCAACAATGTTTCTTCGAGACCTGCGGTTGTTAATATTGGAGCTATTTTCACCTTTGATTCTACAATTGGTAAAGTTGCCAAGTTTGCTATTGAGGAAGCAGTGAAAGATGTCAACTCCAATTTCAGTGTTCTCCATGGGACCAAACTCGCTGTAAAAATGCGGAATTCCAATTGCAGTGGGTTTGATGGAATGGTTCAAGGTACTTTATCTTCTATTGCTTTCCCTTGATTTTTGGGTTGGTTGTTTGGTTGGTTTCCTTTTATTATAATGGTCAAGAATTCTGTTTTAGTCGAAAGTCCATGAATCGTATATAGTTATGCTGACAATTTTGTTAATTTACAGCTTTGCAATTCATGGAGACTGATATTGTCGCCATTATAGGCCCACAATCTTCTGTAGTTGCCCATATCATATCCCATGTTGCAAATGAACTCCAAGTTCCTCTATTGTCATTTGCAGCCACAGACCCAACTCTCTCATCCCTTCAGTTCCCCTTTTTTGTTAGGACAACACGTAGTGATTTGTATCAAATGAGTGCAGTGGCGCAAATTGTTGATCATTATGGTTGGAAGGAGGTTATTGCCATTTTTATAGATGATGATTATGGACGTAATGGCATGTCAGCTTTAGATGATAAACTTGCAGAGAGGCGCTGTAGAATTTCCTACAAGTTGGGAATTCCCCCAGGACCTGGAGCTACCCGGGGCGACATCATGGATCTTCTTGTTAAGGTCGCACAATTGGAATCTCGAGTTATAGTTCTTCATGTGAATCCTGATTCAGGTCTCACGATTCTCTCTGTGGCACGTTATCTTCAAATGATGGGTGATGGATTTGTATGGATAGCTACAGATTGGCTGTCATCTCTTTTAGATTCTGCTTTGCCTCTTCCTTCTGAGACCATGGATACATTGCAAGGAGTTCTTGTTTTGCGCCAACACACCCCAGATTCAGATAGAAAGAGGACCTTTTTCTCCAAGTGGAACAAGCTGACTGGTGGTTCTGTGGGACTGCATTCTTATGGGCTTTATGCTTATGATTCTGTTTGGCTGGTTGCTTATGCTCTTGATGCATTTTTTAACCAGGGTGGGATCATTTCATTCTCTAATGATTCTAGGATAAAGTCTGTAGAAAAAGGTGGTAGTCTTCACCTTGAAGCAATGAGCATTTTTGATGATGGACCGCTCCTGTTGAAAAACGTATTGCAAAGTACTTTTCTTGGTTTGACAGGTCCTATTAAGTTTGATTCAGAGAGGTCTCTTGTTCTTCCAGCATATGATATTATTAATGTACTTGGTACTGGGTTTCGACGAATTGGTTACTGGTGTAACTATTCTGGTTTATCAACTGTTCCCCCTGAGATGCTCTATTCAAAGCCACCTAATCGTTCCAGTGCAAACCAACAATTATACAGCGTTATCTGGCCAGGGGAGACATTGTCAAAGCCCCGTGGTTGGGTTTTCCCAAACAATGGGAAGCAACTAAGAATTGGTGTGCCTCTTCGGGTCAGTTACCGGGAATTTGTATCACAGGTTCGGGGAACTGATAATATGTTCAAGGGTTTCTGCATAGATGTATTCACTGCTGCTGTAAACTTGTTACCATATGCTGTTCCATACCGATTTATCCCTTTTGGAGATGGTCAGAAAAACCCAAGCTACAACGAGCTTGTGTATTCTATCGCAACGGGCGTGAGTAAATCTATCATAGATTCAATATTTGAAATTCCTGTCATAAAAGACAAGTTTGATTTGCCAATATGTGCACATTCTTTGGCTAATTCTCTCATTTACTATTCGCAGGTCCTTGATGCTGCTGTTGGTGACATTGCCATTGTTACAAATCGAACGAAGATTGTGGATTTTACACAGCCATATGCTGCCTCTGGACTTGTTGTAGTGGCTCCATTTAAAAAATTGAACTCTAGTGCTTGGGCTTTCCTTCGGCCATTTACTGCACGTATGTGGGTTGTCACTGCTGCTTCCTTTCTTGTTATTGGTATAGTTGTGTGGATTTTGGAGCATAGGATAAATGATGAATTCAGGGGTCCACCTAAAAAGCAACTTATAACCATCTTGTGGTAAGTTCTATAGTTAAGTATCTTATCACGATATCTACTAACTTGTACAAACTGTTTTTCTTTTTGACCAACTTGCACCAACTGATTACCTAGTTAGTTTATCCTTTGCTTAACAATGTGATCAGCACTGTAACACCCTGCACTCAACTGACAAAGAAGGTGCTCCAGAATGATTGTTTTGAGCTTGAAAATAAACCTCAACTACTTTATGTCCACATTTTATTTAAATTTCTCAACTTTCTTTTCATAATAAGTTATAGATAACCATAATGATAGTAGTGCTCTAAGCAGCAGTATAGTAAGAGTTTTCCAGGTGACAGAGAACGTGCTCCAAAATCATTAATTTTGGCTTGAAAACAAATAGATAGCCATGATGTTAGCAGTGCTCTAAGCAGCAGTATAGTGATAGTTATCCAAGAGACAGAGAAAGTGCGCCAAAATCATTAATTTTGGCTTGGAAACAAACATCAAGTCATCACTTACCATGTCCATGTATCTTATTTAGATTTCTCGACTTTCTTTTTCAAAATCTCTCAGAGAACCATAAAGATAGTAGTGCTCTAAGTAGTGGCGTAGTGACAGTCTTAGGTAGCAAAGGAATGCTTTTCATCTAGGTATCGCAGTGACATTTTCTGATAGAAAATAGGCAGATATATCAACTGGTCATTGGTCGTGACCAAATACCTTATATACTTTAAGAATTGATTACCCAAAAAAAAAATTTCCATTAGAGCTTGTTTGAAAATGTGTCCTTGTTGAAAGTTTTGCATGGAAGTCTTTGATTAGATTGTTCGACATAGTGCTCCTCAAAAGCAAGGACATAACAGAGGAAGCTTTCTGGAAAAGAAATTAATTTCTGTAAATGTTATTTCTAAAATTTAAGAAGGATAAGGACAATCTGTCTTCAAGCAGAGCTGTGTGAAAAGTTATGAGAGCAGAAACACGCCAATTGTGACTAATTTCCTCTTTCATCGACCATTCTTCTATTTGGTCAGGGTGATACGTTGTGCTTCTTATAGTAAGAATCCTGTGTGTATAGGTTTTGGTCTCCTGCCACTATTGCGAATCTGTCCTTTGTATCTGTCTAGGGCATGCTGTGGGGCTTAATGAATAAGACTTATTTCACCCGAAGTCCCTCAATGGCTGTAGAATGTGATGTGTTTCTTTAGGTTCCTAAGGTTACTTAGCATCTAGGTCCATATGACATCTTCCTATATTTCCAAAATATTGGTTTCTGATTTGTTTTCTTGTTTGTCAACCTTGCAGGTTTAGCATCTCAACTCTGTTCTTTGCCCATAGTAAGTGAGGCTCAGCTTCTTTCCTCATAAAATCTGGCTTTTGCGGACTGATTGAAACAATATTCATTTAACTGACTTGCTTCTCTGCCCCTTACACAGGAGAAAACACTGTGAGCACCCTTGGTCGTCTAGTTCTCATCATATGGCTCTTTGTGGTTTTGATAATCAACTCGAGTTACACTGCCAGTCTGACATCAATTCTCACAGTGCAGCACCTATCTTCTCCAATT